TGCTGCTGCTGTTGCTGCTGCATATGACCACTGGTCAGCTGCTCTGTTGCTGCTGCGGGGCCCGCAGCACTGCTGCTGTCGGCAGCAGCAGCTGCAGCATCAGCATCAGCAGCATCAGCAGCAGCAGCAGCAGCAGACTGCTGCAGCATGGTTTTTTTTCTTTCTTCTTCTTCTCGTTTCTGCAGCAACGCAATTGCTGCTCGCTGCTCCTCATCGTCTCCGCTGTCGTAGTCAACCTGCAGCAGTGCATGCATGCAGCACAAAAAATTATTTATTTATTTATTTATTTATTTATTTATTTATTTATTTATTTATTTATTTATTTATTTATTTGTTTATTTATTTATTTATTTATTTAATTATTTATTTATTTATTTATTTATTTATTTATTTATTTATTTATTTATTTATTTATTTATTTATGATTAAAAAATAAAAAAAAATTATATTCTGGTTGTTATAGAAAACAGCTGAACAGACACCACAAGCAATACACCGCAGACTGCATGCAAATATATATTAAAATATACACCTGCATGCATCCATATGTATGATTCTGCATCTGCATGCATGCATGCATGCATGCATGCATGCATACCTCATCGTTTGGTCCTGGGGCCCCGTCTCTGATTTTGTTGGCGGCTTCTTGTGTTTGTGTATTTTCTGGTTCTTTTGGCCTTCTTAGGATGAGCTCTTTAAATTGTTTATTAAATAACATAAAGTGAGACCACCCGCTAGATAATACAATACCTAAATAATGCACAAATACCTCCTCTGTTAGTAAACCACCTGCAGCAGCAGCAGCAGCAGCAGCAGCAGCAGCAGCAGAAGATGCAGCAGCAGCAGCAGCAGCAGCAGCAGCGGCAGCAGCAGGTGGAGCAAGAGAGGCAGGAATATATGCAGCAGAAAAGGATGCGGGAGGAACATACAGATCATCTGCATGCAGCAGCAGCAGCAGCAGCAGCAACAATACAAATAACAACAACAGCAGCAGCAACAAGAACGACAACAAAAACAGCAGCAAATGTAGAAACTTGTTTTTAATTAATATTGCAGTGATGATATATGCAACTATAAAAAAAATTAAACTGAAAAAAAGAAAAAAAAACACAACAGGCGGTAGCTGCATGTACACCTGAAATAAGAAAAGAAGAAAAAATGAGCTGCCTATACACCCGAGCTACGCAGCAGAAACATGCAAAAAAATGCCAGAACCACGAAAAAAAAGAGGAAAAAAACAATAAAATTAATTAATTTATTTTAAAAATAATAAAATAAAATAAAATAAACAAACCAGGGACTGTAGATGCAACCCTTTCTGCTTCCTTTCTGACTCCATTCGTCAGCAACACGTGGCGGTAGGTGTATCGATCATCGTTATAGCGCGGAGAGTAATAAACATCACCTAAATAAATAAAATAAATTAAATAAATTAAATAAATAAAATAAATAAAATAAATTAAATAAATAAAATAAATTAAATAAATAAAATAAATTAAATAAATTAAATAAACTAAATAAATAAAATAAATTAAATAAATAAAATAAATTAAATAAATAAAATAAATTAAATAAATAAAATAAATTAAATAAATTAAATAAACTAAATAAATAAAATAAATAAAATAAATAATAAATAAAATAAATAAAATAAATAAAATAAATTAAATAAATTAAATAAATTAAATAAATTAAATAAATTAAATAAATTAAATAAATAAAATAAATAAAATAAATAAAATAAATAAAATAAATAAAATAAATTAAATAAATAAAATAAATAAAATAAATAAAATAAATTAAATATAATTCGTTATATTATATTGTAAATTTAATAAATTTAATATATAGGAAACAGAAAATAAAATTAATTATTTAGCTTTTTTTATACATGCAATATATTTAATATAATTAAACATGAAATACAAGAAAACACAAAATAAAACAAAATAAAACAAAATAAATATAATTAAATAAAAAATATAAAAATAATAAAACCGCAATTAAAATAAAGTTTCTTTTGTATGAATATATAAACAATATATATATATATATATATATATATATATATATATATATATATATATATATATATATATAT